GACAAATACAAGCGATGCTGTGACCACTCTGCTCCTTGAGGAGGTCAGAGTGTCCCTCCTGCTCTTGCCCTGCAGGGGAGGGCCAGACCATGCAGCAATTGCTCCACTCAGTCACATTCATTTCTTACCAACCCCATGAGTTCACCAGCAATGTACGCTGCAGGACACAATAGGGAAACTACAGTGGAGACTGGCCAGCAGAGTGTGGAGGGGAGACTGTTTCCCTGTGTAATGGCAAAGGAAAGCAACCCAGAATTACTCAGAGCATATGCAGGCTGCTGCTTTTACTGTACCTATCACTTGTGGACTTTGCTGAGGGACATGGTTTAGTGGCAAAATTGGCAGTGCTGTGTTAACAGTAGAACAAGATGCTCTTAAAGGCCTTTTCCACCCTAAACCATTCTCTGATTCTATTGTTTTGCATCCCAGGAGGGAGTTAATTTTGCTCATTTTCTCAGATGATAGGAACAATATTAATTATGTCTCACATAAAATACCTGCACATATAAAATGGAAGAGCCTCAGCAAGTGGAGCTGCCGAGCTGGGAGGGACCTTATGTATAGGGTTAGAGTTAACAGGCTTGGCATGTAGACAGTGAAATCATAGAAAGCAGCACTGCTTTGCTTGTGTCTCTCCCCCTGTGAGGGGAGGGACGGTGAACTTGATACACGGAGCGCTGGATCCATGCCTGCAGAGAGGGGAAGGTTTGCTGAGTGAATGAAACCTAGAGTAACTGCCCAACTGAGTAACTGAGCAGGGAGTTGTGAACTCCACCACAGAAGATTGACAACTACAGGCAAGTTCAGATTGGACCTAGACTCCAGGTCTAGTGCAGGAGAAAAAGAACTCCTGGGGCACATTTCTGTATAAAAAGTGTAACTTTATGAATTTTATTTACATTATGTTTGCTCAAACAGAGTGAATAAGTTGACTGAACAGAAACCAAACGACATTTTGGGGGAAGAACTTATTTCACGTAAGTAAATCTCATAAATCTTCATTTTGATCTAATGTAAGACTTTCTTTGTATATTTGAAGAACTGAGGCCTGTGAGCTGCATGCAAACATGTGTGATGCATTAGGTGGGCAGAAGTGAGGTGTTCCCTCCCATAAGCTGCTTGAAGAATGAGAGTTTACATTGTGAAAACATAAATGGCATGGAAAACTCAGGCATGGAATTAACATTCTTACATAAGTACTCAATCTAAATTTATCTAAACCCTTTTGTATCTTAGAGTTACTTCTGATATATTGGAATCAGTAAGATGGGAATTGGGCCTACAGTTTATCAGATGTCATATCAATAACAGTCTGGTTCTCTTCCTTCTCATACTGAGAGGCGTTTTGTATAAAGTCTTTCTATACAAATGTTTGTGCCACTCATGATACCAGCACATGTGAGAGGAATTTCAGTTACCTGGTGCTGGCACTCTCCCTGAGTGGCTGCCAGAGACCTGCGGGTGCAGGTGCTGATCCCTCTCTCCCACAGCTGGGGGGGAATTCCCCTGCAGTACTGTCGGTCAGCAGGCACTGGAACAAGGTGAAGGCAGCCTCCAGTGAGCATCTGCTGGAGCCTCAGTGATTCCCCTCAGGCACGGCAGCTGCTTCTGAAAAGAGAGGTCATTTTTCATGTTATATAATGATAGTGACATGCATGGAAATAACATATCTTTTCACCAAGAGCAGTTGACAGATGTTCTTGAAGGATTTCTGCAAGTAAAATGAAGTCACCCTTTCAAGTGTTTTCCTGGTATTCACTCAGGGCAACTGAAAAAGCCAAGGAGCACAGAAAGCCATTAGGTCTGTGGGTGAGCAGCCAGCTCGCCACACTGGCATCACACCCCACCATGGCCAGCACGTGCCTCCTGGGGCCTGGGCTCTTCAACACAGCTCCTGCTTGTCCAGGGAAAACTAGGCCAGGAATGACCTTCCAGGCATGGTCAGGTTACTAAAAAACATGGTTGAATTGAGATTTTAGCAAACAGGGAAACCAGCAGGACAGAAAAATTTTCTCTTGCAAAAAACCAGAAACTTTCTGAGGGTTTCACAGAATACAAAAACATGAAAGCCTTGAGTGAGCATGAGACATTCTTTTCAACCCAAAATTGTGTTCTTTGTCTTCTCTTATTTAACACACTTGAGGCTTTTGCTCAATTTCTTATTGTAGTCAGAAAGTACTATAAGCAAGAGGAGAGGTTTTTTTGACGCTAAAACATGAGAAACTATTAATTGCAAATGTTTACCAACTCCCTGGTGCCAGGTTCTCCTGTTCCTTTTTCCTTCTTCACCCTCTGACATTTTTTGTGCTGACCAGCCTAGGAGTGAGCTCCTGTGCCTGCTGAGACATAACAGGATCCCACTGGCTCTTCGGTTCTCTAATAACTTGGTTCATTCGGTGTAAATTTAGTGCCAAATAACTAAGGTTTCCACTAAGGGTGGCTTGCATAAAAGTGCTTACCTGTTGTTAACTCCATTTTCTTCCTTTTAATTGCTTCAGATTTTCTCCTGGCCTGCCAGAATAGGTCTAAGACAATCAACAATCAGAATTACAGCAATTAAATATCTTGGCATTTTCTTCTAGCAAGAACAAGCTTTAAAGAATATTATGTTATTTAAAGTTGAGGGAACTGAATGGCAAATAATTTTAAATCAACTGATCATGGAAGTCTTTAACGATTTGTTTGGTCAGTAAGTTCAAACTGGAACAGCTTTCTTAATACATCTTCAAATACCTGACTCTCGCATAGCTGTCATGCCATGACCCTGTCCTTACAACATCCCCTGCTCACACATCCCCAGAGCAGTCATCCTTCCCTGCTCAGAGTTCAGGCTGGATGGTAGAAAAAGAAACATTAAAAAAGGAAAGACAGATTTTATCTTCTAGATAAACAAATACGTTGACCTTGAAGTGACATTTTGGCAAAGGTAACGAAATTTGGCTGAGCATAGAACAGTGCAGGCACAAGGTGGTTGTGAAGCTGGAAACTCCTGGTGTTGATGTAGTGATGCTTCTGTGTAGGAAGCTATTCCATAGGAGTGAATACAGGGAGCAAAATAGGAAGTCCCTGCCTCTGCTCTCTATGTGCTGGTTGTGTTGACAACTGGGCTTGGGTGAAGGAAAGGTTGGGAAAAATGCTGCCAAGGTTGTGCTGCTCCAGTCACAGAGCCAAGCCAAAGGAAAACCAAACAATCCCCATTTCACTGTGTCTGAGATGAAAATAAGTCCTCATTTAATGTGCACCAAACCTCGCTCTGGGAATCAGAGCACTTGTGAGAACAACCCAGTGAAATGGCTGCTGGAATTCTGAGATAAAGTCTTACCTGTGCATAGTCTAGGCAGGCTGAGATTTCAGTGCCAGGGTCTGTAGGAGGACCAGGCATGAACTTCATAAACTTCCTTAGCTGAAGTTCATGAATCCTCATACTTGAACTAAAGGGCAGTTTGTAAAGTTATCATTTCTTCCTGTAAGTTCTTTAAAATACCTGGAGTAGTCCTTCTTACCCATCAGAATTGTGGTCTGACATTCTTGGGGTCAGGTAGATAATCCTCTTGCTACCCTTGCCTAATCACATTATAGTGAGGAGCACTCAGCCCTGGAAACATCTGAACACCTAAGAAGGACAAAGTTTTGTTAGGAATTCAGATGCTGGACACATATTAGAGTGTATTTTGTTTTGAACAACAGCCTTTCTCCAGTAGGACGCCTTGAATTTGTGATGCTTGAATGTTCAGATACTTTTACTGGCATCTGGTCAAAGACGTTCTCCTGGCCTGAAGCCCTGCTACCCTATGGCACCAAAACTGTACAACGCCTGGAGAAGGAAGAGTGTCCTCCAGACTGCAGTGAGCTGCCAGGA